CATTCTCTTTATAGAGTACTCAGATTAGGGGCAAGATTTAATTGTGAATATTTATTACACACTTTTAAATGGGTGCAAGCATAGAAACCAGCGAGACTACATAGAATTCCCTATGTATGCAACTCATTAAGTTCATCAACTTTCCTTTTAAATGTTGCAATCATTGTGAGAAAATGGTGATGCATTTACCGTCAATAAATAGAAAAAATAGAACTTTATAACTTTTTTAAAAAAGAAAATTTGCCAATGTCTCTTTCGAATTTGCAGCCGCCTTTTTTTGCTTCACTTTATAAATTTTTATTTATTTGCTTTTTATTTTTACAAATATCTCTTTCGAATTTGAAGTCGCCTTTTTTTTGCTTCACTTTATAACTTTTTTAAAGTTTTCTAAGAGAAAACTAAAAATTTAAAACTTTGATTCAAATTTTTTGTTTTTCACACACACACACACACACACCTTTACACTTCTTCTTGCGAAATGGTTTTGATTCACCGCCATCTTCTATTTCTCTTTACATCAACTCCCAATAAGAATTCCCTTTTGTGGAAAATGAAGAGAGCAAAGAAATCACAGAGTTGTTTGCAATAAATGAAAATTGTAAATATCCTCTACCATGAAAAATATTCCCCGACATGGAAACATTTAATACAATCTTATATAAATCAATAATAAAATTGGAATAATAACCGAAATGCATGCAAAAAATGGAATGAAGTGAGTTCTGAAAATACGCTTTCAAACTCGAAACTTTCCTTATTTTTGGAATCCAGAATACAATTTAATAGACATTTTAACCGATGATGAAATGGCTGATTATGCAGAAATACTAAACACAATGTTTTGCACTTTTCAAGCCTATCCTAACCAACAGTCTTTAACTTTTGACATGTGTGCCCGTCATTTTCAAATATTGCGCAAATGCTAACTAAGAACTTTAAACCCACCTGTTGATTTATACATACATTAAAAACTATTAATTAATTTACTATAACACATTGTCGGTTTGTGATCTGTAAAAGTTAGTAAAGGCACCCCATTACTTAGAATAAGAATAAGAAGCAATATTAATACACTTTCTTTTCAAAGGGCAGTCCACTTGAGAGATATTCGCACTTTATTCAAAGAAAGTTGATTGTTCTACGTGATATTTTAACTTTAATTTTAATATTGTCTTAATTAGGCATGAAGAATGCTACGTAATGCGAAATTCTCTTTCTTTCTTACTTGAGAAAACTAAAAGTGTTTGCTTAAGTTTTAGACGTCAAATAAAAAAACTTGAAATGTACCTGTTGATCTATACACACATTAAAAAAAAAACCGAATTTGTTTGACTTTTTTCATTGTTTTAAAATTTAAATGACTTTCATTGTTATTATTGCCGCGCTATTTAATTCTTATGGAAAGAAATGAGTATGACATGGCCTGGCGTTATATATCCTACACCACCCTATAGCTATTCAACTAACGGATTTTCAAAATAATGTGTACGTGTCGGTATACCACATTCCATCACAATTGCGGACCATAGATTGAACACAAAAGTCACAAACAGACGGAAAGGCAAGCTTGGAGTCAGAATCACTTTGTAAAAGGTGGATTCTTACATACAAAGTCCTTAGTTAGACCAATTCTCGAGTATGACTCGGTTGTGCGGTCCCCTTCCTTTAGGCGTTATGTGGATTCAATTGAATCCGTTCAAAGGCAACTTTTCTTGCTCACCCTTAGGAATTTGGGATGGGTCCGGACCCTCTTGTCTCTTTGCCATCCTATAAAAATTGATTGGTTTTGTTATCCTTACGATCACTTGAGAAACTTAGATTTAGTCTTGACGTTTCCTTCTTAATGAAGCTAATTAACGGTACTATCGATTCGTCCACGTCCCTCTAGGCCTTTTCATCTTCATTAAGCTTAGTCGACATAAGTTATTTAATGCGTTCAGAGTTCTTTGCAGAAACCTAAATAATGTCTATCAGTTAATCTCAATATCAGGATCTTTTGAAGTCTATCAAAAAAAGGTTTAATACACGCAATTTATCTACGCCGCATTTATCTAACTTGCAATCTTAACACTCTCACTATGAGTCGAAAATTAACTGATGCTGTTTACTGTTATGTTAAAGCAGAAATACCTGTACGCGGTTGTGCGTATGTTTGCCGAAGCAAGTATATGTACGCAAGGAGAAGTGCTTACGTGTGGTTATGCGTGCACTTGTTCAAGCAATTATATATGGACGCATAAGCGATAAAAATTTCAACCTTCGGTTTTGCTTGACCGGTTACTTTAATATTTTAATTTGAACGTTGTTTGTGTAGGTTGCGTAGGTTGATTTATTTTCGGAGGATTTTTGTATATATCTATTTATTTATTGCCAAAATTTTTTCATCATAATTATTTCGTCTAATTTCTACCATTTATTAACAAAAGATGAATATTATAATTATTGTACCCACCTCTAAAAGATAGGGGTGTAGTTATTATGTCTTTTTTCATCTCACATTGAAAAGAAAGCTTCGGAGACTCTATAAACTATATACATTCTTAATCAGCGCGAAACTGTGAATTGATTAAGCCATGTCTGTCCGCGTGGTGTTTGTATTTTCGGCATTTTCCTGGTCGCAAATATAAAGGTATTGACTTCATATGTGGTAAAATCATTAGAAGTTTTTGCACGTAGGTTCGTATTGCAAACAAGCCAAACTGGTTAGAGCACAAGCGCGCAATGAAGCGTAAACCGAACGCAATTCCGTTTTTCTAAACAAAAATTTGTAGATTTTTCTTCATTACTCACAAACTATAAAAGATAGACATTTTTCACATTTATTTTACGAAAGGCACTACCATTAATGTGGCAAAAAGGAAAAATCGTCCATGCCTGTACAAAGTTACGAGTGACGGAATTTCCTTTTTTTAATTTTTTTGAGCTTTTGTGCTTACTAATTCTAAGCTAAACAAGACAGAACGTTCAAAATTATTTTGTACATTCCTCAAATTATCCGCCTAAAAGCGCGTTAATTCTGAAGTAAATGTTGCGGACACCACGACCTGGCGGATTAGTTTTTTTCTTGATAAGACCGACGATATAGGTATCAAATAAAAGGACTTGGAAAGTTGAACGTGACAAGGTAAGTTGGTTAATTCTAAGTTAATTATGGTGGACGTCACTAACTGATGGACAAATATTTTCTGAAAAATAGCGTCCATATGAGTACCATACAAAAGGGTTTACAGAGTCGAATGCGAAAAGCTAAGTATATTATTTCGACGTCATGATGGTGGCAGATGAATTTTTCTTAGTAATATCTTTTGGTAAAACAAAAGGTAAAATATAAATATTTTATCCCCTCCACTTTTTTATGACAGCAAGCAAAAGCAAGGGGCGATAAGGGATTTAATGGTGCTGGGAAATTCAGCCCCGGCACAAAATAACTTTCTTACTTGTTATGGATTGTGACGAACTGCAGTTTTCTTTTTGGCGGAGAAATTAAATCAGGATGTCTAGAAACTAGAAATTTAATAGCTAATGAGGAGTTAGAAATTAGGGAAAGTAGATTAGTTGAGATGCGTGTCAGACTATATATTGCTTAAGCAAACGTACGCTCACGCACAGGTTTGTTGAATACGCATACTATCGCAAATTCATGTTCATAGTCTCTCTATGGTCTTTTCAAAACGGCTTAGTATAGCATATACATGTTTTTATTGTAGCCTCACGCATACTTATATTACTTTCAGTAAGTGTTTTAACTTCAGTTCTGTTACTCTCTCTTACGATCTTGAATATCGTTTGTTTTTATCGGATGCCGTACTTGATAATTTTGCGGTGCAAAATTGCTGGTAAAATGTCCTATCTTATATATATAATGTTTTTATGCTTTCTTACATAGTTTTTCTCTTCGTTTTCATCATATTTTTTGTATTCGTTTTCAACAAATTTTTGAATTCGTTTTTATTGAACTGTGGTTAGTTTAGCATCTCTGCGTTTACTTTCAAACGTTTTGGGTTTGCTTTCAAAATATCTTAACACCTCTGTTTTTTCGTGTTAACATGTTGTTACCACTGCATTTATGAGGACATCTCTTTTGCATGACGAAACTTGATATTTTTAACACTTGATTGTCACTTGCAAAAAAACCCGAGCTAACGATTTTTTCGTGACAAGTGAAAGAAATTACTAGTAAAGTGCGAGTTCGTGACGTAACTAATTGTTGCCGCAGTTGCGACGTTGTCCCATATAATTTCACATGTTGCGTAAACAATCTTGCACACTATCAAATCGGGCATTATCAAATGGGCATTTTATGTGAAAGGGACGGGTACATATGAAATCCAATATCAACAAGCGCTATGAAAGGGCGTAAGAGACACTAAAGGAACTGAAAAGAACACATTTACTGAAGTTTGTACAACAAAGTATAATTGTAGTTTTTATGACGAAAGTAACTGAAAAGTAATAAAATCTATGGCAAATAAATTACGATACTTGTACGGTAATTGAAAGGATGCCTTCACACAAAAATAATGCATAATATTTGGTGTATTATCACGAAAACGAGTGAACGACTGAATGAAGCGAAGAGATATGGAGCATTTAAGAGTCGCCCTTGAAAGACCTTAGTGCTTTTAGCATAGACAAGTCTTATTACCTATGAATTCATGTAATTTTGTGTTTAAAAGAACCAAACCGCGATCAGTTATCATCCGCGCGTGTAATTCATTTATTTATTCCTAACATTCTATTTTATTCTTCATTCATAAACGACAAAAAACCAGCGCAATCGTATAATGCGATGTTGATAAGTTTTGCATTGAAAGTCATACCTCAAACATTTTAGATAGCATTTTACCGACTTACTATGATATCAGGAACATTATTTTTATTCATAAGGTTGTTCACACTTGTATTCCGATCTACTAGTATGATTTGAAATTATCTTTCTTGCTTTTTTTATTTATTAATCCTAATATAATTTTTTAAAAATAGGTACTTTCAACTTTCGTTTAATATTTTAAAGGGTCCCGTATAACATTTAAATGTATACCACCTTCGGGTTGAAGGATTAAAGACTTTGCATCTATTATAATACTTTTTACAGTTTTCGCTCCCAATGTCACTCGATGATTGCGTAGGAAATTTAATAAACCAATCTTTGCCTGTAGCATAGTAAAACGTTCTCCAACGCAGGCGTGAGGACCCAATCCGAAAGGCATATACGTGTAGGGAGTTATCAACTTTTTACGCTCGGGCGAAAAGCGTTCCGGTTGAAATTCGTGAGGTTGAGGAAAATACTATATTGCAAGAAAACAAACCAAAGTGATTTTTAAAGAAATATGAGAACCTATGGGTTTATTTTATTTCTTACCTTTGGATCCATATGTAAAGCGTAGACAGGTATATAAACGGGCATGCCTGCAGGTATTGAAAACGAATGGAACGGCTCTAAGGAGTAACTCTGGCCTTTAGGCAAAGAGCATTCGCGATCTAAGAAAGCTAATGGTGGGTAAAGTCGCAATGTTTCGTCTATAATCATTTGCATATATTCCAAGTTCTCAACGATCTGCTGCGGGATCTCTCCTCGACTTTCATTAAGAGCGTCGCATATTTCTTTGCGTAATCTCTCTTGCATTTCCGGGTGTTTTGCTAATTCATATAAAGCCAATGACATTGTTGTCGAGGTTGTCTCAAATCCAGCTGTAAAAAATATAGCCGCCTGAGCGACTAAGAGATCACCTTCAAATCTTAAACCATCTTGTCTTGGTTGGGTTGTAGTTTGATTTTTGAATTCTATCAGAATATCGATTAAATCGTGACGCTTTATTCCAGATTTCTCCCGCTCTTCCAGCACCCGATTCATTGCAGACCGTAAAAATTCCGCTTGCTTTGGTGGCACGACTTTTATGCCTAAATATGGCACTAAATATGGTAAGAAAAAAATAACACTAAAATTTAAGGCACGTCTTGTACTAAAACGAAATATTTCACGACCGTTACGACGAAATTCTCCATTCGGATATTTAAAAGAATTCGCTTGAATACCGAAAGCTACAGTTGCGATAACATCCGTGGTGTACAATGCGCAAAGTTCCTTAAGCTCCAGTTGAAAACTATTATTGTTATTTAAAGGCATTTTCAAGAGATATTCATTAAGATTAAGTCCCACTTCTTCAACCAGAGGGAACATTTGTTTCATTTTCCAACATGTAAAGAAAGGAGTCAGTTTAGAACGCACTTCCTTCCAATAAGGATTTTTCAGAAAGAATAAGTTCAGCGAGCCAAGAGGGTCACCAAAACAGTCCGCGTTTAAAGACCGATTAGAAAATTTTGGAAAATCCTTACTTAGAATGCGTTTTATTAGCTCGGGATCGCGTAGCAGCAAAGCCGGACGATGAAAAAGATAAATACCAACGAAAGGTCGATTTCTGGCTTCGGGATAGTTGTAGATAGCATGTGTTATATGAGCAGAACTGGATTTCATGCGCAATAAAGGTCCTAAATTACCGACTATTGGAGTGGGTTTGACGTGAACAACGCCATGGCGCACCCAATACCGATAATGATACGTTAGGTAAACATATAAAAGCACTACTAATAACAACAGCAAAGCTAAGGTTATTTCGAACCACATTCTTTCAAAACGAAAAACTTTTTACTAAAACTTTAGGCAAACTTTTGATGTTATATAAACCTTCAGCATATTCAAAACGTAACCCTAATGACCGTTTACTATCTTCAATCACATTATTTATAATTCGAAATATTTTTAAATAAACGTTTGTTTACATATGGTCTTACATCATGTTAAGCTCTTCATTACGCTTGTGCCATGTGTTCTGCTTCAACATTGATCTTTATTTATCACCTTCGTTTATCAAAATATTGACAAAGTAGAAACTTGATTTTCATAGAAGCTTTACCGTTGTTGGGCAACCTAAAAAACTTACTCTTCTTAAAGGTATCGTTTGGCGAACAATTCTTGGCGGTATTGCTTTTTTTTTTGATATGTTGAGTTAAGATAGGCAAAGCCAATAAATTTGTGGCTTACATTTCCAGATAATAAACGGTGGTAATTATTAGTAGGAAAGGTATATAAAAGACAACAAAAAAAATTCGCCCGTAATAACTAAAGCCGATATGTTGAGTGTCATGATAGATTGTTGAGTTGTCGAAAGTAATGTAAAAATAGTGTCGCAAACTTTGGCTGAAAACAAAAAAGGAATGTTATAGCAATAAAAATTGATTGAACGCAAAAAATAGTAAAAGCAAAATTTATAATACATTGAAAAGATAAATTCGATTCTCTAATAAAGCAAGTTAGTTCCCCGAGATGACGTACATCAGTGATAAATTTATTGAATTTGTTCGAAACATCGGTTGAGTTTGTGGATGTGGTTACCAATTTACTAAATGCTTCCGATGATGATTTAGTAGGAGATGTTTCCTTAGCTGCCTGCGAATTGTTACAAATATTACAGTATAGTGATTTAAGTAATGAAGCAACTACGATATTTAGTTGTGTGAATCTCGAAATAATGATCGTATTTGAATTGCAGATGTGAAGAGATTTTGCGAAAACTGCCTTGTTATTGCTATTATTTAATGACTTCGGCACGACATTCAATTTGGGTAGTAATTTTATAACATGAGCTTGATTTACGTTTTCTTCGTTAATTTCATTTGCAATTAATTAATCTTATCTTTCCTTTATCATCATCAGCAGAATTAATATCGACGTACGCTTCTTTTCAAGTTTGCATGGCATTAAAAGCCATCTGCGTTATAGAACAAATATTTCCTTTCAAGTCTTCCTCATGGGCTTTCATTTTTCCGATGTTACTTATTTTTTATTTTTTTTTCTATAGAACATAACCTTAGTTTTTCTTGTCCAGGTTTTGGATCTACTTATTCATAACTATTTTTTACTTGTTGAGCAGGATTCGGTATCGCAGTTTTTCCAATAAGATTTTCGTCCTTCTCCTTTGAAGCGCATAACTTTAGTTTTTCTTTTTGATCATTGGCAATGTTCGCAGTCGAATATTAGGCAAATTTGCACACTACTATTTGCTTGATAAATTGCGCTGTTTTTCTTCTTAGCTCCAACCAATGAATTGTGAGTGCAGACAGATTGCATCATCATACCAGAACTGGCCGATCCACATTTTTCTTGTGAACTTTTACTATCGTTATCAAATATCCTGATCGGAACTTGTGCATCGGACCACCTTTCAATCTTGTTCTGACTTGTGAGAAGTCATATTCCCATTATGCTTTTCCAAATTTTTGCTGAGTAGTTGTTGTTGTTCAGCTCTCTTTGATTGTTCCACTTCATTTATAATATGACCATTTTCTTTCAGCTTTGACTTCATATTTGTGATTTTAGTAAAGGCTAATGTCAAGGATATTTCCTTATCAGAAGTTTCCTGGCTGCATAACGCTTTTTCTGTTTTTTTTGGACTTATTTTCAATATTTAAGAGCATTTATCGTTGCAAAATTCCAAAAGGGTCGAATTTTCTCTTTTGAGATTAATTTGATTTTCATTTTGATCATTTCCCTTCGAAGCATGAGTTAATTCCTTACCTAACAGATTCTTTCAGATTCTTTTCATATCTTCCAAGAACAGAAAACGAAGCTGCATTTATATTTCCAGATTTTCCATTTTCATCTCTTAAATCAATCTTTCGAGTGTTTTTTGGCATGTTATGCTATTTTATTTGAATCTTTCTATTGTACTTTTTGTAATCAAATGGTTGGGACCATCTCTTTCTGGTCGCTGAATACCTCCCCGTCAAGGTCGAACGGTACAAACTCTTCTTCGGCCTCCGCTTCGACTTTGCAGCCTTTTTCATCGAAGAGGAAGTAGTCGTGATCAGCTCTGACTCCTTCTGCCCATCGTTTTTTTACAAGTGTCGCTATTTCTTCTGATGATCTGCTCCTCTTCCTGCAGTTCAGTGCCATGTTGAAGGAGCTCCGGTGGAAGACGTTTGTGAACTTCGTCTGCACTACGGTCAAGTCGCACGTCCTTTGCGCCTTGCCGTCACCATCTGCAATCTCTTCGTTGTCGATTGTTGCTTGGAGTGTTGCGCCCTGCACATCGTTCAGTATCTGTACTTAAATAGCAATCCCCCATGGCATGCTATATACTGGCATGCAACTTTTCCGTTCCCTGAATGAAGCGCAGGGCGCTTTCATTTGAGCCAGCTTTGTAATAAGATTGACATCGTACAGATCACTTGTGCTCTTATGTTTAGCGACGAATGCCTCTAATAAGTGGGGGTAGTCGTACAATAAACGTACCCGATGCGTGCTGTCGTCTGACCGCCTCCTGTTGTACACTCCGTTAATAAACTTTTCCAATCTTCCGATCTTCTCAGCGGCTTGGAGATTCTCCTCTAATAGCGGCTCTATTTCTCCCCTATAAGATGTGTAGGGGCAGCTGTTGAGCAAGACGACGTAAGGGTGTCATCTGTACGTTATTTCTTCTCGGTATCGATACAGGTGTCCTCGGCAAACCAGTCCCGTCAGTGCTAGTGTCAGCGTCGCTGGTCATTTTTATTAGTCCTGTTAGTACATCCTCTATGGCTGGTGCCTCCCCGTCTAACACGTCCTCCACCTCTAAACGGATACTCTCCTCACGTCTCCTGTCACGTTCGATTTGTTTGTTAATTGTCCCCACGGCCCGCTTATATCCCAGTTCACGCGCATACATAGGTATGCGGTATGAAGGGTACGGACCGACCCCCCTCAAATCTTTTCAGACCAAGCCTTACGCATTCTAAAATTTTTAATACCCTGCGAATAGTCACTGCCCGGGTTAGTTCTGAGCTTACATGCCAGTTCCTTGTACTGTTCGCCACAGTTTCGTATATTCCCGGAGTAATTTGCTTAGTGCTTCATGCGTCGCTTTCCTATTTTCCATAGTATAGCTAAAGAAATAATGGAAACAAAGAATTTCTGATAAATAGCACTAACGCATAATTATTTGCTAGCAACAACATCGTCCACTATACGACTTGCACTTTAGATAGCTAAATATCTACATGAATACACTGAGCAAACGCGGGAACAACTTTCCATGAGAGAAACCGACCTCCCAAACCTAACTAATGTATGTATTAAATATGTGTACATGCTATATATTTATATCTATATAAGATATCAGCCAATTAAGCCGATTTTTACTATTCAGAAAACAGATTAATAAGAAAAACGACCGTAACCGTAAATACTAGCGTGATCAAACATGTAGGCCCGTGTAATGTTATTTTTTTTAAATCTATTTATTATTCCAAATGTACATCTTATTAACTATAAAGTTGTTGATCAGTACCAAATTGCCTATCAAACCTAAGCATGTCGGCCTGTGCAATGCCGTTACTAAACAATCTCTTGATCATAAAAATTATATTGTGTTTAAGTTTGGCAAATGATTTGAAGTTTTTGAAGTAAAGATACCTTCACAACACAAAGTAAACTCAGAAAATCTTTCGGCTGAAAAGTAAAAAAAAATACTACTTTGTTCGTTATTTATAAGACAGCGTTTTTCGCTCATATTACCCTACCGTGTAAACCCTAAACCAAGTAAAAAATCAGCCGCGCTCTTGCAATATTATGGATTATCGAAGTTTTATTTTTTTGGTTTTTCCCTTTTTGTACCCATCACCGTAAGAAGCGGGTATATTCATTTTGGTTTTTTCTAAAATATATATATGTAACACCGAAAAGCAAGTTTCAGAGATGCTATAAAGTATATATATTCTTGATCAGCGTGAAATTCTAAGTTAATTTAACCATGTCCGTCCGTCGGTGTGGTGTGTTCAGTACATGCTAGAATGCATTCGCATGCCAAGTTTAAGAAGAACACGACAATCAATTTTGATCCAAAGGACTAAACGCTAATACATAAGAAAGAATGTTGAAGGAGAAGCGAATTTCACAATTAGACCTAAGAAGAGAATTGTTGTCATTTTGCATTGCTCTGCCTGAGAATTGAATTCAAGAACCCACGAATATGTATGCTGTCTAGTAACTTTTATATTCAGCTTCTGTCATGAATCCTTTCGTTTTTCTCTTCTTTTAAATTGTGAAAGTTGTATACTGAGCTAGCAACGCTGAAGCTGTCTTAACTTGAAACAGCAGAATAAATGTAAAAACGTAAGTGAACAAAAATCGCGATGAGCACCTATGATTGAGAAAGGCCATGATTTTCTTATAAGCTATACTCTTCTTAAGCCAACTACTATACGTAAACGGCGTTAGTAAATCAATATTTTTCTTCAGATAACCACATACTTGTTTTTACTTGATATCGAGCAACTGCGTGGTTAGTGATGTCCTATATTACAAACGAATCCTTATCAAATGTAGATCGACAGAGTGAGTTAACGTGTTTTCAAAAATAATCCTACGCTTGTACTGACACAATGAACAAACTAACTAATGGCAGATTTGGCAATTTCGTTTGCATTTTTTTAGCGTGATCCGTGCTTCACTATATTTATCGATTCAAAGAATATTACAGTAAGAATTCAAAATTTAATATGTGGATACGTATTTAAAGAGGAATTGAAAACCTTAAGAGAATTCTACCAAGCTTAATCAGGTTGACGCAATCGTAGGCTTTGCTGTGGTTTAGGGAAAGCATAACAGCCATTTTACCAACTTTTTTTAAACTAGCTATGAGAAAAGATACCTCATCAACGGACATATTCGTAGATTTCCATTTTTGATAGGAGTAAGAACGAACTGGAATAATGTTCCCAAGTTTTAAGAATTTCATTAGTCTCTCCTTAACCATGTAGTTAATAAACTTTATGAATGCAGACATTGGCGAAATTGATCTGAAGTGACTTAAATCATTTAAGACTTTAACTGCCTTAGGAATGAGAATTGCTTTGATACATCGCAGATCTAAAGATATAAAGTTAATAGACCAGCAGTTATTAATTGCATGAAAGAGGATACTTAAGCTGCCTCCGGACAGTGCTCTGACCATATCATACTTGACTTTATCACAACTTGCAGCAGCCGCCCTCACATTGCTCACACAATGAAAAGGATTTATTGTTGAGACTACTAAAAGGAATTGAAGATATTGTAATGGTATTGACACTTGGAATATAGCTCTTGAGCATATCCAAGTACCTTTTATTATCATAGTCATTCCAGACAGCACAACCGTTTAATTTTCGACTAAAACGTCGATGACCATTGATGTAATTCTAGAAAAAACGCGAGTTGCCATTACCACATAACTCTTTAATCGTGAAAGCTCTATGTGTCCTTTTCGCCTTTCTAACTGCAGACCTCCATTCCTTCAGTGTTTTCATATCTTCAATGAAGGTGATTGGATCGGCATATTTACTCATTTTTTTCCTTGTAGCTTGGTATTTGCGAACAAGTGTGGACAGCGAAGTGTTTCACCAAGGTTTCGGTGAGAAGGATTCAATATAAGAAAAGTTTGCTCTAGCAGACTTGATCACAGACAGAAAGGTACTTTGAATTGATGATGAATCGGAAGGAAGATCAACTTTAGACAGACGGTCCATAAGGAAGTTACGTGAAATGAAATGTTCTATTTTTTTAACGGAATTGTTGCGACTGTGAAAAAAAAGGGAGAGTGCTGACTTTTGTCAATGGAGACGTTAGTCGTATTACAGTTGAATGATAAAATAGTTGAACTGGAAAAAGTTAGATCCAACATACTGCTCGCTGTGCGACCACTCCGTTTACAGTGAAAGGTAGTATTACTATTATTTAAAACATTAAAACTGCTAGCGTGAAACCGCACCTAGCTTAAGCGCGAGAGCTTTTACAAAAAGTTTAAGAAATTGCTTAACAAAGTAAATTAACAAAATTAAGCTAAAGCGTTATAAACTGGCAAGGCCAACTATTAAATATCACTTTATCAATAAAATTTTTTACCGATCGCCGTCATAAAGTAAAACGTTGCACTTTTTGCCATATAAAGGCTTATTTTTCATTAATAATAGTCCGAAAAAATGGATTAAATTTATCTCGCAGACCTAACAATATAAACGCGGCCTCACACGGTGTTTGCACCATACGGTCTTATTCTTTGTCTTATTTATTGCAATAAGATCTAATTTCTAGCATTTTACGATAAAATTTGTGAAAAATAAAGCTGAGATAAGTTTGAACCAAACCAAAAATCAAGATGGATAAAAAATAAGGAGATAAATAAATTTTAATTTTAATATAGATCGTCTTTATTTTTTCCTTTGCGTTTTTTGCTTATCATTCTTCACTCGAAGGCTTGCATTCGTTTGAGTTGGTTGAGGATGTCTAAGCAACGATCGATATCAGATTTTTCTAAATCCAAAAATCCCGTTAAATTATCGGGCAAATGTATGAAAAGTCGTTCCGCGTATAAATTATTTTAATGTTCGAGCAATAAAATACGAAACCAATTAACTTTGTCTTGATTGATTTCTGATTGTGATTCTGTGACATCCATTTCTAACTGCCCGTTTAACTCTTCTGGTTCTGTACGTTCTGTTCTTCTCACTGACGTGCTTCTGCTGCCGTTTCAAACAACTCTGGCTTTCCACAATTTAGTTTAACGCCTACGCACACACATACTGCAGACAGCTTATCGATTACTATTGCTTTATTACCAAATATTACCGTACGACTAATAATAGCCACAGATTTAACGCTATTGTTAGAGGATCTTTGGCCGTTTTTGGGCCTCACTTCAGAATGAACTGTGCTTAAATTGTTAACGATTATGCTAAATTAGTTATTGTACTTGCTTTAACCCACCTTCTTTTAGTTAGTTCCTTTCTCAAACACTACCAGTTAGCTCCTTTTTCAAAAGATACCAACCGAAGGTGAAGAAAGATGCGTTAAGGGCTGTAAGGCTTTAGAGCTTACCTTCAATTGGTACCTTTTTCCTTGTGCTTAGTGTTTGTTTAACACTCAATTCTACTCCAAAATCTTTCAAGTTTTATTTTTCAACCGCTACGACTAACCAATTCGCTATCATGCGCCGCTTCTTGTAAAGATGTCTGTTCTTATTTTTAAATCTTTGTTTCCACTCACTTTCGCTGCCTTCTCCTTAGCATCATTTTTTCAAGCATCCTGTTCGCTCTTCACCCCTTCTGCAGTTTCTTCGGTTTTCTCAGAATAAACTTGCGACTCATCTGCTGCTTTTTCTGCTTGTGTACTATTCGCAATGGTCAAGGTGATCGGTGCAGAGTCTCTGCCATTTGAAGCGGCTTCTATTTACTGCATGCATTCTTGGAAATCTGTACGCTTCGTATTCCTGATGGTGGCGAACTTCTCCTTTTTCTCAACATAGTGGGAGAAATCTTCCATCTCTATATTTGCCGATTCTCCGGTGTCTCAGCGGAACACATTATATTTCTTATTGTTATACATTATGATCTTTGCAGGCCAAAGTGGCAAGCCTTTCACTTTCACGAAAAAATTCATCAACATTAGGGTTTCGTTTTTCTCTTTGTATATAAGAGAGGAATGGAGTAAGGATCAGAAACTGTTTTCATTTTTTACAGATGTTTGAATACGCAATTTCTCCAATATGAACCTTTTTTTTTTTTAAATCGTGAGTTTGGTTGGCGAGGAAAAAGCGATGTTGTCAAGATATCTCGCAGACTGCTTTTTTGTCAGCACTACCTTCGCTGTCGAATATTACACTGATGGTGGTGTGACGAATTTCGGCTTTTGAAATAGTGTAGCATCCGGTCCGATACCTCCAAAGCTATATAAAACGGTTTATTTATTTAAAATTTTTATACCCTACACCACTTGTGGTACACGGTATATTAAGTACATGCGAAAATATGTAACGCCCAGAAGGACTTAAGATAGGCCCATCTCTTATTATACCGATCGGTTAAGATTCGTTTTCTAAATCGATCTAAACCTGTCTGTCCGTCTGCCCACCTGATATCTGTCCGTGTACTTTGTAACTGAAAAATAATAAAATTTTTGACAAGTAAATTAACTTCGGAACGATAGTTGATCAATTGACTATCCTAATATGGAATCGATGCCTCTAAACAAAAATAATGTATAATATTTGGTGTATTACCATGAAAACGAGTGAACGACTGCATTAAGCGAAGAGATGTGGAGCATTTAAGAGTCGGCCTTGAACGACGTTAGTGCTTTTAGCATAGGCAAGTCTTATTACTTATGAATTCATGTAATTTTTTGTTTGAAAGAACCAAGCCGCGATCAGTTATCATCTGTGCGTGTAATTTATTTATTTATTCCTAACATTCTTTTTTATTCTTCATTCATAAACGACAAAAAACCAGCGCAATCGTATAATGCGATGTTGATAAGTTTTGCATTGAAAGTCATACCTCAAACATTTTAGATAGCATTTTACCGACTTACTATGATATCAGGAACATTATTTTTATTCATAAGGTTGTTCACACTCGTATTCCGATCTACTAGTACGACAAAAAATGTATAGGCGATGTTAATAAGTTTTACATTGAAAAGTCATACATTAAACATTTTAGTTAGCATTTTACCGACTTACTATGATATCAGGAACATTATTTTTATTCATAAGGTTGTTCACACTTGTATTCCGATCTACTAGTATGATAAACTTCACTTCGTTAAATCTAAACGTATAATAAATCTTACGCTCTTGCGCAGACCTCAGGTATCTGGGGTCTCAAGGTTGTTTTTATTAACACTTTAAAAATGCGAAATTATTTGCCTATGAGTATTAAGTAAGTTCTTGACACACGCAGGTTCCCTATCAAAGTTTGAGTGCTCTATAATTTGTAAGACCTTCCTTATAACAAACATAGTTTCTTATATGACAAAGTAGTTCGATTTTGTTTTTCACTTTTGAAATATCTTTGAAATTATCTTTCTTGCTTTTTTTATCTATTAATGTTAATATAATTTTTTAAAAATAGGTACTTTCAACTGATTAAAATAAAAAGCTACCTCTGTGATTTTTATTTCAAGGTAAGGATACATATGGTGGCCAAAAAGGTGGCACGATGCAATCCATTTCCAATAGGGGCCATCTTCAGGCCAAAATACATCGGTGTAACTAATAACTGTGATCTGTAGGTGGAACCCAAGCACACAAGGACAGACATCAGAGAGACAAACGTAAAGGCAAGCTTATAATAAAAGCTGGTATAATAAAAACTGGGTTTTAAAAAAATTTGAAAAGCAAGTCCTTATACTTATTGCGTCAGATGACGTTTTGGCCACGTTTTCGGCATCCGCCAATACTCAGGTTTTGATGAAAAATATGACTTTTCATGAAATTAACGTATAATCCTTACTGTGTTATCACGACAATAATGGATAACTGTATTAGATGAAGTGAGGTAGGGTATCTAAAGATTAGCTTTCGCTCGACTATAATGTTCTTACTTGTTTTTGGCTTCATGATGGACGCTGATATTGTTTCAAAGAAAATCTGAATAGAGTGTATGGGCATATGGGTCGAAGTTTTATTGAAGCTATTGGTTAAATTTCGGCAGAACGCGATATGAATAAACCAAGCATTATTTCTTTTAAGCTTAAATAACGATTAGCTAACAAGGAGAGCTTATAACTTAACAATAATGCACTGATATTCCACCATCGGTATAAGTAAGGAAAGGAAATAAAAACCCTAATCAAAGTTGAATTCGTAATTTAAAGTGTGCCTTATATGTAAATATAGGAAGTATTTAGGTTTTTAGGGAAATTGTAAACGTAGTTCACATGTCAGGGCCACTGCGTATCTACGTCAAGGTGATTAACAACAACTTTCTTCGTTTAATACTTTAAAGGGTCTCGTATAACATTTAAATGTATACCACCTTCGGGTTGAAGGATTATGGCCTTTGGATCGAATTTAATACTTTTTACACTTTTCTCTCCCAATGTCACTCGATGATTGCGTAAGAAATTTAATAAACCAATTTTTGCTTGTAGCATAGTAAAACGTTCACCAATGCAGGCATGAGGACCCAATCCGAAAGGCATATACGTGTAGGGAGTTATCAATTTTTTACGCTCGGGCGAAAAGCGTTCCGGTTGAAATTCGTGAGGTTGAGGAAAATACTATATTGCGAGAAAAAAAACCAAAGTGATTTTTAAAGAAATATGAGAA